GAGCTTCGAAACTATCGATCCGGGAGTTGTATCACCACTCTTGGGCCAAACTTGCCCTTAAGGCACTGCTCGAACGCCGTCAACCTCATTTGACCGTTCATACCATGCGTGCACTTCTCGAAGGAACGCTAAAACACCGCCGCCCTTTCACTCGTAGCGGTGTCGGAGTAGAATGGAACGATCACCTTCACGGCGTTCCTCAACTCAGTTGGGATGCCCACTATCGGCTCGTTCCGTCTTCGTTGCGTTCCAATTACTTGTGCAGCATAATCACCACCATGGTCGTGCGTCCGGTTCACCATGGGTTCTTGAGGGTACGCCGAGTGCGTCTGGTAGCCCCTCCATGACCACTGAAGCTCCTACCAAGCCCAAGGCCTCCCATGCTTGCAGGCGCCTGATTCGCAGGAGCTGCCGACCACGCTGGCAGCGTTCCACCAGAGTTCCATCCAGCCGTGGGCGTTATCGGAGGTTGAAACGGCGGATAAAGCGCGCCCAGACGTGCCGCGCCGTCTCCTCCATCGTTCCAACTGGTGCTCGGCGCCTGCATGGTCACGCCACCGTAGGACGGGATCGCAGCCATCGGCATTCCCACAGTCGTCGAAGCTGGCGCCGGTAGCGCCACTCTGGGAGCCATCAAACCTTGGTACCCGAGCATTGGCGTACTAACCGGTCGAGTCTGATCGACAAAGGCGTTCTCTGTGGACGCCGGCACTGGGCGTGACACAGGCCTCGCCCCTGCAGGTCGTGGCGGTCTTGTCGGCGTTCAGCCGAGCCTACAGCTTCTAGAGTGCCCGACTAAACGTGTCGACCAACCTCTCTTGTAACGCAGAGTCCGACGTCGGCGTTCCGGCCCTCCTTGTCGGCGTCTCCGTCGCCCGCGCTGGTGTTCCTCCTTGTCTCCTGGGCGTATCACGCTTCGGAAATGTCGTTCCAGACACACCATGGCGTTCCACCACACGCGGAGAAGGGTACGTCTTCGTTCCTCTCGTGTCTAACGCCGCACCGGATGGCGTTACTGTCGGTACCTCGCCTCGCGTCTCACTCGCAAGAGGTAGCGACGGCCTCGACGCATCGAAGGAGAACGCGTCTCTTTGCCGAGCTCTCGGGGTCGACATCGCGGCGTTCGCGGTCTCACCAGCCGTCGTCCTTGCCGGAGTCGTCTCTTCGCTCGGCGGTGGTCGGCGTGCCAGCCGCGCGAGGAACTTGTTAAACATCTATCGGCCCCGGGGCGTGTCCAACACCGACTCGGCCATCCTTCTCGCTCTTGGAGACAGAGGTTCTGACCCGAGCGTCCCCTCTCCGTCCCTACGAGCCTCGCGACCCTCGATCCAGGGTTTGGTTATTCTCGGCGTTCCTCGTTCCGAACCCTCGTTCGAACCGCCCCTAGTCGGAGTCCTTCCACGCGCGTCACCCTCGACGGACCCTCCTGCGTGCTCTTCGTCTTCGTCTTCCGCGAATGTCAGCAGGAAGTGGCGTCTCCGTCTCAAGCGGGGGAACCCACCCACTAAGCCCCTCACCCGCTTCCTCACCTAGTCCCTCTCCGGACCACCCATTAGAGCTCATGTCTCGCTACCCTTTTCCCTCGCCTTGGCGTTCCGTTGCCAAGTAACTTCGAGTTACTCTCTTTCTGCGCTTTCGTTCCCACGATAACCCGGCGAGAAGATACCCTGCTTCTCCACCAAACTGTCGCGGTCTTCCTCCTTAGTGTCGGGGTCGCGTATCTAGCTGGCCGACGTAGGAACGAGAACTATAGCGATAATTCCAAATGTAACTTTAATTATTCTGAGTACCTCTCTCTTAAGAAGGGAAAACACGACTGAGCCTCTTCCTTATGACCTAGAAGCTCCTTACCTGTCCACAACGCTTTCCCACGCAGCGGTCCATAGTGAGGTACCTCCTCATTCCCTTCATCCCAGTCCCACTCTAGACGTGGAACGCCGACGTCTGCTCCTCTTGCCCTTGCTTGTAGGACGTAGCCCGTTGCCCCTGTAGTGAGCAGACCTTCAGGATGCAATCCGCGAGAATAGGGAGACCTCCATCTAGCTGTAGACCGTGACAGTCAGTAGTCTATGTTTCATTTACTGTAAGCTTATAAAGTTTTATATATGTATGCGGACATTGAACGAGTCCGCCATAAATATATCCTCAACATCATGCACATCAGGTTTTCTATATCAGTACGATACGAGTTTCGTTGGCCATTTTAACCAAACGATATTCAATCTATCCGGATAGTCCATATAATTTAGTTTATCGAAAAAATGTTATTAGAGAAATTTCTTGTTTTTGTTCTGTTATCGTTGATACGCCTAATTTCAAATTAGTAATTTGTTGTCTGCGGGGTTGGTAACATCAGGTAAGAAAATAATAGATAAATATTTGGTGAAATGGTGATTACGAATGCAATGCTGAGCATGCTGATGTATTTCACATGACGAAAATGACGTTTATGGGATGTGTACTAGGGCTATTTTTTTCAGCTTATGGAATTGCCATTACTCTCCAACAATACAACAATGTTTTATATAAGACTAGCGTACCTCACAAAATAAATGTTTTGGCACAATTCCCAACTGCTCTCATCTTAACGTTACGCCACTCGATTATTTTCCTGTGAAACTGCTATTTTTGTGTTAAGATTTGGTACAAAAAACAAAGTTCTCATTGGTCAAAATTTAACCGGGAAGGCATGACGGGAGAAGTGAGCGAATACCAATGCGGTAAATGAACTGATATATTGGTATAGTAAGTTTTCTCTAAGCTTATATCTTCCACGTGTTGGTTCTGAAGTTGCGCACTCTATGGACCGTTGTCCTTAAGTCGGACGATGTGCTCTTAAAAGAGTTCTGAGTTTCTGTACGCGGGTCTTGACTAAGTCTTTTGAGTAAGTACTTCACCGTACGATTTTCGTTTTGGTTTTCGTTTATGGCTAACACAGCTTCCTCATTCGTTGTACTTCCCATCAGGAGGAATCGATTGTTTGACTTTCTGCATAGAAATCGTTTCTTTATCAAACTGAAGAGATCGGTTTGCAAATATATTACTATTTGGATTTGGGCTTGAGTGTTTTATCTGTGTTCGCACCTCTTGTACTCTCAGTCACCGCTCGTTCTACTAGTTCTGGGGCTAAACCTTCTTCATGAAGACAAGAAAATTACTTGGCAAATACTTAGGTGGTTGTGAGGTTTCATCTTTCAGCCTAAATATAGTTTTGTTTCGAGGTGTGAAATCTGTTATTTTTGTGTTAACAAAAACCTTTTAAACAGAAGAAAACACGCGAAAATCGACGAACTGGTGTTTTTCTGTTAAGCATTTAATTTGTGAGGTACGGTATTCATATCTGGGATAAGCCGCCGCCCTTTTAATGCTACACACAAAATACTTTTACACGGATGTAATGATTCGTTTACTCTTTGTGCAACAATGAAAGGACAGATACACGTTACGGGTTAGGGGGGAAATTTTGTCATTTTGCATCCTGAAGCAATTTCATCGAAATCTACTCCCTTCTACGGACAGAAAAACTGGATGGCCGATACTTTAAACAGGAACACGAAAAATTCGCAATGAATTAGCAGTCCCTAAACCTAGGTCGATCTTATAAGGATTTCAGAAGAGTCTCTTTTGCATCAGTCAGTTTCAGATGACAACTGTTTGCCTGGTTCCACGGCAGTGTAGGTACGATTTGGCAGGCTCATTTTATGGTGTGTGCCTATAACTTTAGGACAGATTGCGCGTTGATTGAATCTGATTTCCGGATATGTCCTAGATTATCACGGTATATTGGACGCTTCAATCCATTGTTGGTAAGAAATCTGTAAAAAAAAATAAAAATAAATAAAGAGAGAGAGAGAGAATGTTGGGTACATTCGACAATACACTGATTTCATATTTTGATTTATGTTGAACGACGGAGAGTCGTGTGTTGCACAGTCATTACAGGACTGCGGGGCGCGGCTTGGGGAGGTCAATGGTCTGGGTGGATAGCGCGTGGAGATGTTTCCGAGATAAGCGGCGTGGGGTTATCGAGGTGTGTTGAAGTATCGTGGTACGGCAACCAGGATTGGCTGATCCTCAACCAGGTGTGCGGGAGTCGGCAGCTGCGACGCACCTGGAGATTGGCAGCGTGGTCGCGTCCAGATTTCCAGTCCCCATTCTTCTCGTTACAGCTCTTGGAACCAAACTAGTCGGAATGACGGAAGATTGTTGTATCACATCCAATTCTGTATAATACAGCACAGCAAAGCAGAACAGACAGCATAGCGATACAGATTAACGGCAATAATGTGACGACTAACCCCATGCAGGAAGCATACCTGCTTCAGTCGCTGTAGCTGGCGACATGCGAGCTGGAAACCGTGGAGCCGGATACGCGTGAGCTGGAGACGTATGAGCGGACGATGTACGCACTGGAGACAATCCTATGTTATACAGCACCAAAAACCGTGCTATAAAGCACAATGCATACATGTTAGTGTCAAGAAAGTGGGAAAAAAGGTAGAGAAATGCGTACATCTGGCTTCAGATCTCGCTGCTGATGCACGCGCCGGAGACACTCCCTCGCTATAGGAAGCGGTCAAGCCTCGCAAGTAAAGGAACA